ATGTGGGTCCCATGTGGGTCCCACACCCATGTGAGACATTTGGTAAAACTTTTGGTAGAATTTTTGGGATCTCTAGCATTTTTGCCCCAACAAAGAGCAAAATCAGGATCTTTGTTGTCAACTCTATGGGAGAAGTCATGAAGCCAATAGTAAAAATCATAAAATCCAAAAGCAAACCGATCCTTGGGGATATTTTTACCATTGACATATAAGAATCAATTCCATCATTCCCAATATAAATTAAAAGATCACCTCATTCTATAAAAGCAATTAACAGAAATAAATAAAAAAAATGAAACAAAAGTTTTAAAAGGCTTGTTTCAAACAGCTTTTTAGTTAATATATTGGGGAATCTCAATAGAGATTCAAATTGAGAATTTTTGTATCCATTTACGAACAAAAACATAAAAAATAAAAAAATAGTGAACAAACATTGTTGTAGTTCAGAGTTCAAAATGTTGCAACACTGCTTCTCACTCGTAAACAAGTTTGTAGGGCTTGACAATTAATTGAAACACAGTAAATACTAGTACAGAAAGATATGTCGTACATTAAGTTTTTTTTTTTAAATCCAATGACATAAAGGTTAAGATTTATCTTATTTGCATGTTTAATAAACTCAGTTTTGCATACCCAGTAAGTTATATGCATGATGACTAATGGAAAAAGAACAGATAGCAAAAACCTTTGAAATTTATGAAACCTTCGAGGGAGTATCGATCACAAAGTTCGTCAACCTTCTCAGGGTAGCCAGCTTCCATTGCCAAATAAACCTTTTTTTTTCATGTTTTTCACACCCAAAAAAAAAAATGTCAGTTATTTATCCACATGCAGTCTAAATGGGTTCTCCAATGATAAACAGGTGCATAGTCAATGAATTTGCTATAGTTTTACCAGAAAGCAAAATATATCTACATACATAGAAGAAAAAAGAAAAAGAAAAGGAGGGAGAGAGAGAGAGAGAGAAATATATTCTACATTACCAATTATTGGAACTGCTGTGACAATTCCTCAAATCGCCTTGAACAATTATCTAAAGACTACGTTTTTATTCAAGAGCATCTATATAAATGTAAAACATTAAGAGTGGCACCAGTCTTATGTTCCTTTTGCTAATTATGTTCTGAGTTCTATTCTTCCCATAGCAATAATCATAGCAACAAAAAGAAAAAGAACTTCAGAAATTACTCAACAAGGGAATGCAAAGTGCTTCACATAAATAGCTTTCCCAAAATGTGGTTCAGATGTCCAATGAATGTAGGACCCCCAACTCACAGAAGCATTGGCAGCTAGAAGGTCAGGTAGATCAACCAACTTGTATGTCTTCCTAACCCAAGCAGACTCAAGGCCACTCAGTATTAATGGGAATGAACCCATAATTCAAGACCAGGTATGCAGCTTGATCTGTGTCGTAGCTGTAGTTAGGTGGAATTCAAATTATTCTATACCCACCACCAAGCCTCTTCCTTGGCACATGTCAATACATAAAATTTGGTTGCAAGTTCCACAACATGAGAATTTATGAACAGTTTTACAACAGTTGAAATGCACTCATTAAGATTAGAAATTTCAAACAGAGCTCAATAGTAGTGAGTGTTAAAAACTACCTACCAAATACTCAAGAAATTGTTTATCACCATTCGTCTTTGCTTCAGCAACGTCCCAGCATCCTTTTTCTGCTAGTTTCTTCAGTGAGCTGCAATTTGATTAAATCCTTTCTGTTAATCTTGATGGGAGAGAAAATTTTAAAAATTTACAAAACCACCACAAGTACCAAAATATAAAATCTGAAACATATGGCATGGCCTAGAGGGCAACAAAAGCAATAGAAAGCACCTTTCTTTACACTTATGATATATTTCTGGAAATTCTTTTCGAAGATTGTTTTTCTTTATAATATCATAAGCATGCTTTGGCAGCTTCCTCTCAGAGTATTCCTGAACAAGTACACACAACATTGGCTTCCCCATAAATGTTGCCCATTTATCCGCTGCTCTGTAGTCTTTGTTTTGCATTATTTTCATTAGGAAGGATTCTCCAGACTGGCGGATAGAGAAATGTTCCAATAGAGTGACTGCTGTCATGTATGACTCGGATTCTATCAACTTGAAAATGTATTTGTCAACAAATGTTCTAGCCAATTCTAAACTACCACTACTGTTCAGTTCCGCATTGCACATGGAATTCTCAATGTTTATCATACTGATTTCAAAAACTTCGAGCATCTTTATGAGAACCCTCTCATCATGGATTATACTGCCACCAACAATAAAAAGAAATAACCGGGCTGCAAGAGACTTTGCTTCAAGCAAGTCTTCGGAGGTAGTTCCCACTTTTAGAAAACGACGAAGAGCAGATATTACTAAGTGACTGAAGCCTTCAGAATATTCTTCAAGAATAGGCAAGACATAGAGACAGTGAGCAACAAAAACAGCTGGTCCAGGTTGAGGACTGTTGTATAGAACTTGATGAACTTGTTGTTGAAGAGCACGGAACTTCTTGGTTGCCTTGCATGTGCCTATCAAATTCAAAATTTAGAACAAAGTATGCTAGAGCATATGACAAAAGTGAACCAAGAAGCAGTCAGAACATAACATAGTTGTTAATATTGTAGGACTCACAATTCAAATCGCAAACTATTTGCGACCGCCTAATCTACTTATGGCGAAAAATGTTTTGCTGTCGCAAAATATTTTTAAAAATACCTACAATGTATTAGTGACCATCTTGTTACCGTTGCAAAAATATTTTTAAAAAAAACCTACAATATTTTAACAATCTATATTCTCATATATATATATATATATTCAAATATTATATACAATAAATGTAAAGTGACATTTGTAACAATTCTAATACTCGTGTGTTATTTTCCATCACTTCCCTCGACAAAATTATCTTTCTTCAAAAAAAAAAAAAATGTGCATACAAAATATAAACTTCTATACATGTCACCAACTCCAGCAACTTATTATAAGTTGTGCTCCTAATAATGACGATAGTATTGCATTTAAAATTAAGTAAATCAACACAATGTTTCCCATCGAATTTGACATGTCCAGCCTATTTCGTCTACCTTATTATTTCAACATCTCCCTCGCTAGCACTAGCAGTAGCAATTTCTGTTTCTTTCCACATCTCAGAATAGTCCACAAGGCCATGATTCTCCCAGTGGCCCTGTAATAACCCTCACCACTGATTACTGATAACCCTACTGATTACTGCTAAACTGAGACTGAATATGATAAGTAATTGAATCGATTGAAATATTGGACTGACTGATTGAAGGTGCTAGTTTAAATGCATTTCTATTTGTTGACTGTTTAAATTATCTGTTCGTGTTTTATGCATTAAACTGCAAATTGAAGGCCTTATCGGCGGCCGAACCAGAAATTGACTGATGTTTTACAATTATTAGAATTTATAGGATTTTATGGAGTATTTATCTGAAGAGTGATTTGGTATGATTAAATTAGATTGAATTGAGCTAAATTGCAATAGTTGGCTTAATTACCAACATGCCACTTAGTGGACCACTTAGGCAACACATATCTGAGCTTTATTATACATTCAACAAAACATTTCATCAGCCTCTCTCCTTGTTATTGCTGACTAGAGAGAGAGAGATAGGGAGTTGGAGTGAATTCATTTTGTATTGCTTGGAAATTGAGAAGATTGGAAGAGTTTGTGATCAATTGAGCTTCTAGACTTATATTTGAGAACTTAGGTAAGGAGTTCATCCTTTTAACTGTGAATTTAAGTTAGTCCTTGCATGTTTCATGCTAATTTGAAGAGTTGAGCCTAGAATTGGTTTAAATTGTTGCATTAGAGCTTGAATCATGCATGCATGTGTGCATCGTTGAGTTTGGAGGTTTGATTCCATGGAAATCTTGCATGCATCTTCATGATTGCATCCTGTTTTTGAAAGAATTGGCTCAATAGAGCATGAATTTGAGGCTTAAAAGTTGTTTAAAGTTATGCATGTCCATTTGAAGTCATGTTCTTGAAATGTTGTTTGAATTGGGTTTAATTCCCTCACCTTTGGGCCTTGATTTTACAAATTGAGCTTTAAATCATGTCATACTATGTATTTACAAGTGTTTTCCAAGAAATGGGCCCAAAGGAATCGAATTTGATACACTTGAAGTTGAATTTGAGCTTGAGGTTCAAATCTTGGAATTCCAGATTTTGAACTCACGCTCGAGCGGGGTGACTGGTGCTCGAGCGTGAAATTCGTGCTCCCAGCACTTTGCACTGTTTTATAGTCCGCTTGAGCGGGGTATTGGACGCTCGAGCGAGGACTTGTGTCACATGCTCGAGCAGGTGTCGAGCGCCCAATCGAGCGTGATTTTCACACATCCAGTACTTTTTCAGTACGCTCGAGCGTGAAAGTTTACGCTCGAGCGAAGTCTTTTGTTTGCATGTCCGCTCGAGCGCGGAATCCCACGCTCGAGCGAGACTCCTGTTTTCTGAAAATTCTGAAAATGTTTTTAAAGTGCATCTTTGCATCCTCATTCCATTCTAGGCATTCCTACGCCTAGTTTAAGGTATCTTAATGAGGATATAAATGTAGAACCACACCAAGGCAAATTAGGGATTAGGTTACTATTTTCCCAACTGTATAGCTTAGTGTGTGTTCACTCTGTAACTGTGTAAGGTTGGCATCTGAGGACGCGCTCTAGCTTAACTGTAGCCCAGAACTCTGTGAGTAACAACTGTGTAAAGATATGTTCAAATATGATTATCTTCTGAACAATTGAACTGTACTGTTTTCTGAAATGATACTATTACTAAATGAATGATGTCCTAATTGTGAACTGTATTGTGGCATCCTTAGCAACCTACTATTACTGTGTTGTACTGCTACTGTCACAGAGATCTCTGTCGGTTCCCACGTTGGAACCACTACTGTTTACTGATATGATGGCCATCAACTGACTGTTCGGTCTGATAAGACCTACTGTACTGTTTTGCTACTGGATGTACCACATATGACTGTAATGACTGAATAACTGACATACTGATTGAAATGATTGTTTTCAATACTGTAAGGACATTCATTCTTAACCTCTTTATGCATTATGTTATTCACTGGGCTTTAACTCACTACTCATATATATATATGTAGGTGTACAAGCACCGGACCGTTGCTAGGAGTGTCGGGGTAAACTCCAGTTTTGTTAAGCCAACCACTGTGCCTCACTGCGAGGTTCCGAGCCTGTCAACCCAGGGCTTTTGGGGTGTTTTAGTTTTTTTCCCTTTTTGTATATGTTATGTAACTACTGCTTAGACTGAATGTTTTTGTGTTGTACTATTTAATAGGGATTAAGTCCCTGTCCTGAATGATTGTATACATTGTACATATTGTCTTGGTACTGATTGTATATAGATATATATGAAAAGTATTTTTGCATACAGACTGTCACAGCTCATTGGACATTGTCTATTTACTGTTTTGGCTTCCGCTATGCCCATGTACTCTGTATTATTGTCTGACTGTTAAGCAAGCCTTTGGTAATCTCAGATTACTGGCCGATTACGGTACTAAACCCATAGGGGTGGGTTTGGGTTGTGACAGAGTGGTATTAGAGCGATACTTAACCACGAGTTATACTGCACACACGCGTCCAAATGAACTATAGGGTGTCCTAGAAAAGCAATTAGGGCATCACTTGAGCATGAAAAATGTGTGTGGACATGACATGAATATGTGTTAATGTGTTGAAACATATAACTGCTTATGTTTAAATGTTTAAAGTATGCAACTCCCTATGTTTATTATTACTATGTTGCATATAGTGAAATGGATAATGCAAGCACTGCTAATGAAACTGAATCCTCTGAGGTAAGAATGACGAGGTTGGAGAGAATGGTGGAACTACTAACCGCAAGACTAGAACAACAACAGAACCAACAGCCCCCACCTCCTCCAGTACAACCAGAGCCACCTGTTAATGATGATATCATAGCTTTGACACAGAAATTTAGTAAGATGAAACCGACATCCTTTCAGGGAGGCCTTGAACCCTTAAAGGCTGAGGCTTGGGTTCTTGAAACAGAAAAATTGTTTGAAGTGTTTCCATGCTCTGAAGCACATAAAGTGTTGCTAGCTACCTCCACCTTACAAGAAGAAGCTCGAAGGTGGTGGATGTTGATCCGTGATACAAATACTGTCATGACCTGGGCTCAATTTAAGGAGTCCTTCTTCGAAAAGTACTTCCCTCAGTGTGTCAGGGACAAAAAGGTGACTGAATTTGAACAACTGAAACAAGGTACCATGTCCGTAGGAGAGTATGAAACAAAGTTTACAGAACTTGCCCGTTATGCACCACACATGGTTGATACAGATTACAAAAAGGACAGGAAGTTTGAAGGCGGCCTTAATGTTGAAATCCTTGATAGGATCAATGTTTTGAAACTGTTGAAATATGTAGATGTTCTTGAAAGAGCCATCATGGCTGAAGCAAACATTAAGGCATTGAAACAAACCGAAACACCTACAACTGAGTGGCGCGGGAAGAAACAGGGTTTTAAATTCAAGAAAGGCAGGAACAACCCACTGAACAAAAAGTAAAACTCAGGGTCAACCACCAGCTCCAGTCAGGGATGTGGTTCCATACCGCCCTGTTCTGAATGTGGTTAGAAACACAAAGGGGTTTGTTATAAATTATCTTGTGCTTGTTACAAGTGTGGCAAGGTGGGCCACATGGCAAAGGATTGCCCCTCTGCTCCTCAGGGCAATAGTAAAGCTGCAGCCAGCGGCACAGCATCAACTGCTCCACCGAAACCCAACCCCAAAGCTACTGGGAAAGAACCTATGAGGCAAGACCGAGTGTTCACACTCGTACCAGGAGACGTACAAAATACCGAGACCGTCGTGTCAGGTATCCTTTCTATTTGTACCCAAAATACTTATGTACTGATTGATTCGGGGTTTACACATTCATATGTATCGCATGCTTTTTCGCGAAAGTTGAATAGACCATTAGAACCCATGAATTATCTGTTAGTTGTATCTTCACCTGTTAGGGAATCTATGACTTGTGCTTATATGTACCCTGCATGTGAAATTATTGTTGGGGATATGCATCTGTATATTGATTTACTGCCTCTGAACATTGACCATTTTGATGTAATATTGGGGATGGACTGGTTAACGAAATATCATGCTACCATAGACTATGTAACGAAACAAGTAGTTTTCCGTCCACCTGGTTTGCCTGAATTTGTGTTTACTGGAGTTGGAGTAATACCTCCCCCGTATCTAATTTTCTCCATGAAAGCCTTTAAATTGATTAAGAAGGGGTGTAAGGGATATCTGTGTTCTGTATTAACTGTATCTACTGATGATAATGCTAATGTGAACAGTATTCCTATAGTCAGAGAATTCCCAGATGTTTTTCCAGATAATCTACCAGGGGATTTGATTGATAGGGAGATTGAGTTCACCGTTGATGTGATTCCGGGTACATAGCCAGTATCTAAAGCTCCTTACCAAATGGCTCCGACTGAATTGAAAGAATTAAAAGTTCAACTGCAAGAACTGTTAG